CGTCAGCCCCCGGTTATGGTGGCCGTCAGCCCCCGGTTATGGTGGCCGTCAGCCCCCGGTTATGGTGGCCGTCAGCCCCCGGTTATGGTGGCCGTCAGCCCCCGGTTATGGTGGCCGTCAGCCCCCGGTTATGGTGGCCGTCAGCCCCCGGTTATGGTGGCCGTCAGCCCCCGGTTATGGTGGCCGTCAGCCCCCGGTTATGGTGGCCGTCAGCCCCCGGTTATGGTGGCCGTCAGCCCCCGGTTATGGTGGCCGTCAGCCCCCGGTTATGGTGGCCGTCAGCCCCCGGTTATGGTGGCCGTCAGCCCCCGGTTATGGTGGCCGTCAGCCCCCGGTTATGGTGGCCGTCAGCCCCCGGTTATGGTGGCCGTCAGCCCCCGGTTATGGTGGCAGTTCCGGTGGCTTTCCGTAACATAGGAAATGTTACCAAAAGTTATACATATTTAGATGGAAATAATCCCTAAAGTTGATTGTGACTACATAATGACATAGGAAGTTTACCACAAACTGTAGTGTAACTGTGTTACTAGTGCTAGTGACTATTTATTGAATGAAGAACAATGAAGTGAGATATCATTTAATGTACAAAGAATTCCTAGAGTATCCTTCTTACATAAAGACCCATGGAGAATATAATGATGAATCAGAATATTCTTTTTTTAAGATGTCATGAGAATATCATTTATAGCAGAAAGATGTCTTAAGAAGTATAAATGTTAATTAAAATGATCTTAGAATGTGTTATTGCTGTGTAAAGACGTCTTGGAGAGATTCTTTAACGATCGAAGATGTTTAGAGAGAATCCTTCTTACGTAAATATGACAGAGAGAGAGTCTTTTAATGCTTGAGGAGTATTCTTAATGTTTCCGAGATTACCTTTGGTAACATTGATGTCTTTGAGATTATTTTTGCTGTCTCCAAGTGTATTCTTAATGTCTCTTGAATGTAACATTGATGACTCGATTAGTTTTTTTGATGCCTTTGATTGCAACCTTGATGTCTTTAAGAATGTCTTTAATGACTCTGAGTGCATCATTGATGTGTCTGAAATTATCTCTGATCTCTCTGAGAATAACGTTTGATGGCATAAATAGTATACATAATGTCTTTGAGAGTGTTATAGGAGCATAAAGATGACACAAGAGTTTCATCTGACGAGTAAAGATGTTTCGGAGAGCATCTTTAGTTTAGAAATATTATGAAGAAATTACCTTTGTCTATTTTCAATTGAGTGAAGAGTGATTTTAGTTAACAAATATTAAGAAAATATTGTTTCAGTAAATTTGTTACTGCATAAAGTGTAGTTTTGTTTAAGAACAGTGTTGATAAGGAATATTACGTTGATAAAGAAATTGAATGACATAGTTGATTGCAAATAAAACTTGGTAAATGACTAAAATAAATACTTTGTAATAAATAATTTGAAAATATTTAAATTTGAAAAACTAAATAATTTGTAAATAACTAAATAATTTGTAAATAATTCAATAATTTATAAATAACTAAATAATTTGTAAATAAGTTAATAATTTGAAAATATGTAAATTTGAAAAACTAAAAAATTTGTCTAACTAAATAATTGGTAAATAACTTAATAATTTGTATATAACTAAATTGTAAATAGCTAAATGAATTGTAACTAAATTTGTTAGTGTAACAGATATACAGTTGAAAATACATAACAGTGAACTATTTACTGAATGCCAGAAACAATTGTACAGTTTGCTTTAAAAAAACACAGGGAACTTGTAAGACTATGAAACGATAACAGATGAACATGTGGGGAACACGAGTTGAACTTGCAGAGAACAAGAAAACAAAGAATATACAGAGTAAACAAAGAATGAACAGCGAAGTTGTGAAAAACATTCTGAGAAGGTGTAAGAATATTCTGAGAACAAGAATAACGTGTAACAAGTTGTACAGAGAACATGTGAAAATTTGAAGAACATGGAGAGAACACACAAATATGGAATGAATATGTCAAGAGTAGAGAGAGAGAGATGTTGACTAGACCACACACTAGAAAGTGAAGGGACGACGAAGTTTCGGTCCGTCCTGGACCATTTTCAACACTTCAGCCACGTTATTGTGACTCCTCGTCTACATAGAGAGATGTTGCGTATTTACACTCGAGGATTGTTGTTATAGATTCAACTAAGAACAAGTTCCAAGTAGCACGGGCTATGGTGAGCCCGTAGCTTACCTGGCACAGGAGCGGGGCAAGTTGCACGGGCTATGGTGAGCCCGTAACTTACCTGGCACAGGAGCGGGGCAAGTAGCACGGGCTATGGTGAGCCCGTAGCTTACCTGGCACAGGAGCGGGGCAAGTAGCACGGGCTATGGTGAGCCCGTAGCTTACCTGGCACAGGAGCGGGGCAAGTAGCACAGGCTATGGTGCAACCCGTTCTCGCAAATTCGTAAAGTCAATATTGACTTATTAACTACGTGCATAGGTGATATACTAAACCTAATAGATACCCTTAAAAAGATTCATAGAAAACACCAACCTTACCTAACCTTGTTTGTATCTTAAGATAAGCATCTTATTGCTTCGTAATTACATTACTTAACCTATACCTATTATAAGTTAGGTAATAATTGTAATTACGAAGCAATAAGATGCTTATCTTAACATACTAAGTAGGTTAGGTAAGGTCGGTGTTTTCTATGAATCTTTTTAAGGGTATCTATTATGTTAAGTATGTCACCTATGCACATATTTAATAAGTCAATATTGACTTATTAAATTTGCGAGAACGGGTTGTAAGGTGAGCCCGTAGCTTACCTGGCACAGGAGCAGGGCAAGTAGCATGGGCTATGGTGAGCCCGTAACTTACCTGGTACAGGAGCGGGGCAAGTAGCACGGGCTATGGTGAGCCCGTAGCTTACCTGGCACAGGAGCAGGGCAAGTAGCACGGGCTATGGTGAGCCCGTAACTTACCTGGCACAGGAGCAGGGCAAGTAGCACGGGCTATGGTGAGCCCGCAACTTACCTGGCACAGGAGCAGGGCAAGTAGCACGGGCTATGGTGAGCCCGTAACTTACCTGGCACAGGTGCCGTGCTGTGTCAGTACTCTCGAGAACTGACGCAATGTGGTAAGATTAGTGGTAATAGATGCTATTGAAGTTCTTGAGGAGCAGAGTTGAGAAGGGGATCTGGGGAGGGGGGGGTGGAGTTGGGGAAGATAAGGGTGCAGGGTTGCGCGTGAGGGGGAGGTAAGGGAGTGGGTGGGGCGCCGGTGAGATGATTAAGGGGGCGGTAGTTGTGGTGGGGGTTGGGGTTATGGGGGGAAGGGAAATATATGGGGGCTGGGAGCTGTGGGGGAGGGGGGAGCTTGGGGGGGGTGATAAAGGAGGAGATAAGGGAGCGAACGAATGTGGAAGGACATGGAGGGAGGGAGGGATAAGGAGTGTGTGACAGGTTATCTACACAGGAGTATTGAGGATAAGGTTAAGACTTGTGTTTTACTTTGATAGCGTGACAGGCAGGAGCTGGTCTATTGTTGTTGTTGTTCTGGAACACTACGTGTTGGTTAACACTGAACTAAGTCGGTGGACAAAAGTTAGATCTTGGTAACACTGTTTTCTTTTCTTATTAAGTCTGAATTACACCAGTTTTAAATTATGTGAGGATTGTACTGTTATTAGCGAAGTTACGGGAGTGAACTAAGGCGGAGGACAGGAGACACAGCTCGGTTACTGCTTTGATCCCATTTACTACGTCCGAAATGCAACGGTTTTAAATCTCAGGGAAAATTATCTATTAATAACGAAGTTGTAGGAGTAAACTGAGGCGCGGGACGGGAGCTGAAACTCGGTAACACTCTTGATCATATTTACTGCGTCCGAAATATAGCTGTTTTAAATCTAAGGGAAATTGGTCTGTTATTAGCGAAGTAGTATGACTAGACTAAGATTGGGGACGGGAGCTGAAACTCCATAACGCTTTGATCATATTTACTACGTCAGAAATATAGCAGTGATAAATTTCAGGGGATTTGGTTAGATACTAACAAAGTTACGAGTGATCTAAGGCGGAGACAAGAGCCGGAGCTCGGTATCTGGTTTGATCTATTTTACTACGTCTGAAATATGACTGTTTTAAATTGGGCTAAAATTTGGCAACTAATAGCAAAACTATACATATTAACGTATAATGCCAGGTCCAAGAACTAACATCTGATACTAGGAAATACTTTCTTTTAAAATACTTCCTAAAGACCGTAGAGTTTATTTTTCTTTATTAGAACTCTTTACGGCCACAACGAGGACTGAAACTCTGACAAAATTGTACCCCGTTTCAAACGGGGTACAGCATAGCGTGTATATTTTCTAGATAAGAATTCAATAACAAACTTCTATGAATATAGTCTCTGAAAATGGGAACTCTGTGAACCTCTTGAAAAGGGTTGAGGCGCATCACGGGACTCTGAACACTCGACCCCTGAGAGGGGCGGCGGCTTAGCGCACAGTGTTGACACAACCAAAATGTCCGAGCTAAGGTGTCGTCCCCACTACCCACACCTGCTGGTCCCTGGTGTGGTGCTACATACCTGCAGGTTCCTGGTGTGGTGCAACACTCTAGGGGTAGTGGCAGCAGGTGGCGGGGGTAGTGGCAGCAGGTGGCAGGGGTAGTGGCAGCAGGTGGCGGGGGTAGTGGCAGCAGGTGGCAGGTGTAGTGGCAGCAGGTGGCAGGTGTAGTGGTGGCTGGTGTAGTGGCAGGTGTAGTGGTGGCTGGTGTAGTGGTGGCAGGTGTAGTGGTGGCAGGTGTAGTGGCAGCAGGTGGCAGGTGTAGTGGCAGCAGGTGGCAGGTGTAGTGGTGGCAGGTGTAGTGGCAGCAGGTGGCAGGTGTAGTGGTGGCAGGTGTAGTGGCAGCAGGTGGTGGCAGGTGTAGTGGTGGCAGGTGTAGTGGCAGCAGGTGGCAGGTGTTAGTGGTGGCTGGTGTAGTGGCAGCAGGTGGCAGGTGTACCCCGGACTAACCACTACCTCCCCCACAGATCGCCTCCACGCTGCACGATCAACTGAGTCTGTACTTCGTGTACAAGCAGCACAAGAAGACCATCGGCTCCCTCATCTCCATCAACCTCCCGGGCAAGATCAAACCTTTCCTCCAGGTTAGTAACCACACACACACACACACACACACACACACACACACACACAGTCACTAAGAGTGTTGTCTGTTACAGGTAATCTCCAACCTCAAGTCTCAGCATCTCAACTTCTTCTACCACATCAAGGAGGACGCCAAGACCCACCAGGCCTCCTTCAAGCTCCCGGATAAGGTAGGTTGTGCCACCACCACTCTGCACGCCCTGCCCGACTACCCCACCAGTCTTAAGCCCCCGGGGTAGTAACCCCAACCCGCCTGGGTGGGGGTTTAATCTATTTTATTATTACACAACAAATTAAGTTTACATTTAAATATAAATAGCAAAGGTGCGCCGTATTAAAGCAGTCAAAAGGTTTTTTTTTTAATCCGCTTGGATTTTTTTAAATTAAAAAATCCAACCCGGGTGGAAATTTTGGATGGTTCCTACTGTACACCTTGTTACCCGCACTGCACACTGTAATCCTCACTCCACACTCATACAATATGCTCCATAATCCACACTACCCACTTCATAATCCCCCCACTACCCACTTCATAATCCCCCCACTACCCACTTCATAATCCCCCCACTACCCACTTCATAATCCCCCCCACTACCCACTTCATAATCCCCCCACTACCCACTTCATAATCCCCCACTACCCACTTCATAATCCTCTCACTACCCACTTCATAAACCCCACTACCTACCTACCTATCTATACCCACCTACCCACCTACCGTCTCGCCCGCCTAATGCCCAAACCTTAATCTTACATCCCTATCCACCATCTTGCCTATTAGTCCATCCACTCATATACTTAACTTCCCATATCTCTACCTTCCTACCTACTGACCTAACCTCCTACCTACAAACCTACCGACCTATAGGAAAGGTTACCTGTACGAAAGTATAGGGCACCGTCTTCCCTATCAACGCGCATACCCACCTACCTATCAACCTACCCACGTAAGACTGTGTCAGAACGTCTATGCTCGGTGTAGCTGTCAATATATTTCGGTGTTGTTGCATGTGTGTGTGTGTAGAGAGAAAGTGTAATTAAGAATCGCTATTTCACCAGCTACTTGGCTTTCCAAGTAGCATATTTCTGAAATTTTTTAATGTTCAAATTGTACTATTTCTGCTTTGATAATATATCTGTTTTTCTTTTGCATGAGTTATCGCTGTCTGTTTAATGTTTAACTCCCTGTTTCCGTGTTCTTTGATGGTGTGGGAGGCGGTGGCTATTATATATTAATGTGGGCTGGCATATAGGCAGGCAGGGAGGGAATTGTCAGGAGAAAGCGCCAAGCCATTACGACTATATAGCACTGGGAAGGGGGTCAGGATAAGGATTTGGTATGGGACGGGGGGAAGGAATGGTGTCCAACCACATGGACGGTCGGGGATTGGTCGCCGACCTGCATGAAGCGACCTCTCTGGCGTATTCCATCTTATCTTTGTGTGTGTGGTGTGTGTGTGTGTGTGGTGTGTGTGGTGTGTGTGGTGTGTGGTGTGTGTGTGTGTGTGTGTGTGTGGTGTGTGTGGTGTGTACTCACCTATTTGTACTCACCTATTTGTGCTTGCGGGGGTTGAGCTCTGGCTCTTTGGTCCCGCCTCTCAACTGTCAATCAACTGGTGTACAGATTCCTGAGCCTACTGGGCTCCATCATATCTACATTTAAAACTGTGTATGGAGTCAGCCTCCACCACATCACTGCCTAATGCATTCCATCCGTTAACTACTGACACTGAAAAAGTTCCTTCTAACGTCTCTGTGGCTCATGTGAGTACTCAGTTTCCACCTGTGTCCCCTTGTTCGCGTCCCACCAGTGTTGAATAGTTTATCCTTGTTTACCCGGTCGATTCCTCTGAGGATTTTGTAGGTTGTGATCATGTCTCCCCTTACTCTTCTGTCTTCCAGTGTCGTAAGGTGCATTTCCCGCAGCCTTTCCTCGTAACTCATGCCTCTTAGTTTTGGGACTAGTCTAGTGGCGTACCTTTGGACTTTTTCCAGCTTCGTCTTGTGCTTGACAAGGTACGGGCTCCATGCTGGGGCCGCATACTCCAGGATTGGTCTTACATATGTGGTGTACAAGATTCTGAATGATTCCTTACACAGGTTCCTGAACGCTGTTCTGATGTTAGCCAGCCTCGCATATGCCGCAGACGTTATTCTTTTTATGTGGGCTTCAGGAGACAGGTTTGGTGTGATATCAACTCCTAGATCTTTCTCTCTGTTCGTTTCATTAAGTACTTCATCTCCTATTCTGTATCCTGTGTTTGGCCTCCTATTTCCACCACCTAGTTTCATTACTTTGCATTTACTCGGGTTGAACTTCAACAGCCATTTGTTGGACCATTCACTCAGTCTGTCTAGGTCATCTTGTAGCCTCCTGCTATCGTCCTCAGTTTCAATCCTCCTCATAATTTTTGCATCATCGGCAAACATTGAGAGAAACGATTCTATACCCTCTGGAAGATCATTTACATATATCAGAAACAGTATAGGTCCAAGGACTGACCCCTGCGGTACTCCACTCGTAACGTCTCGCCAATCTGAGACCTCACCCCTCACGCTGACTCGTTGTCTCCTGTTACTTAGGTACTCCTGTATCCAACGGAGTACCTTCCCTTTCACTCCAGCCTGCATCTCCAGTTTTTTTCACTAGCCTCTTGTGTGGCACTGTGTCAAAGGCTTTCTGACAATCCAAAAATATGCAGTCTGCCCACCCTTCTCTTTCTTGCCTTATTTTTGTTGCCTGGTCGTAGAATTCAAGTAACCCTGTGAGACAGGACCTGCCATCCCTGAATCCATGTTGATGCTGTGTTACAAAGTTCTTTCGCTCCAGATGTTCCACTAGCTTTCTTCGCACAGTCTTCTCCATCAACTTGCATGGTATGCAGGTTAGGGACACTGGTCTGTAATTCAGTGCCTCCTGTCTATCCCCTTTCTTGTCAACCCGTTCTCGCAAATTTAATAAGTCAATATTGACTTATTAAATATGTGCATAGGTGACATACTTAACATAATAGTTTCCCTTGAAAAGCTTCATAGAAAACACCGACCTTACCTAACCTACTTAGTATGTTAAGATAAGCATCTTATTGCTTCGTAATTACAATTATTACCTAACCTATACCTATAATAGGTTAAGTAACAATTGTAATTACGAAGCTATAAGATGCTTATTTTAACATTCTAAGTAGGTTAGGTAAGGTCGGTGTTTTCTATGAAGCTTTTCAAGGGAAACTATTATGTTAAGTATGTCACCTATGCACATATTTAATAAGTCAATATTGACTTATTAAATTTGCGAGAACGGGTTGTTCTTGTATATCGGGACTACGTTAGCTGCTTTCCAAATTTCTGCAGTTCCCCTGTTGCCAGTGATTTGTTATACACCATGGAGAGTGGGAGGCACAGTTCTTCTGCTCCTTCCTTTAGTATCCAAGGGGAGATTCCATCTGGACCTATAGCCTTTGTCACATCCAATTCTAGTAAACACTTCCTTACTTCCCCGCTGATAATCTCAAACTCTTCCAGTGGTTCCTGGTTAGCTATTCCCTCTCTTATCTCTGGGATTTCTCCTTGCTCTAAGGTGAAGACCTCCTGGAATTTCTTATTCAGTTCCTCACACACTTCCTTGTCGTTTGTAGTGAATCCTTCTGCCCCTAACCTTAATTTCATAACCTGTTCCTTTACTGTTGTTTTTCTCCTGATGTGGCTATGCAGCAATTTAGGCTGAGTCTTTGCCTTGCTTGCGATGTCATTTTCGTATTGTCTTTCTGCCTCTCTTCTCATCCTAACATATTCATTCCTATTCATTCCTGTGTGTGTGTGTGTGTGTGTGTGTGTGTGTGTGTGTGTGTGTGTGTGTGTGTGTGTGTGTGTAGGCGCATGTAGGGTTGGCCTAACTTGTGTAGTGTGGTTGCGTCCCGAGGTTGGTTGCTCATGTGCTGGCCTGCGACAGGTCGGGTGGACGTGGACGCGACTGTTGATCAGCGTCAACCAGACAGACGTGCGCGTGTGGGTCAACTGCGCCGACTACGACAAGCAGCGGCTGGCCGGCCACATCGACCTCCAGATCCCCGAGAGCGGTCTTATCTATTTTCGCCAGGAGCCCGGACTTAAGAACAAGCTGATCGTGAGTACCAGCGGGACTTTTTGGTCTTGGGAGCCACAGAGTCATGGTGGGACTCTGTGGTCTTGGGGGCCCTAGAGCCATGGTGGGACTCTGTGGTCTTGGGGGCCCTAGAGCCATGGTGGGACTCTGTGGTCTTGGGAGCCACAGAGTCATGGTGGGACTCTGTGGTCTTGGGAGCCACAGAGTCATGGTGGGACTCTGTGGTCTTGGGGGCCCAAGAGTCATGGTGGGACTCTTACAGTGGTCCGGGTTCTTCACCATGTTAGTGGTGTAGCGTGGTGAGTGACTCACACGGAGGACAGGTGTATGTTCTCTGATCAAAGGAGCAGTGTTGAATGTTTATATTCACATATATCATATATTATGCTGGCAGGCAATGGTTTTTGTTGCCTTATGTTTTAAATGCTTGTATTTTTTTGATTGAGAATAGGCATAGCAGGTTTATTCATATTGAATTATTTGTGATGAGTTTCATAATGCATTTATTTTTTTCATTATATAAATTTTTTGGTGATACAAGCCCTTTCTGTTTTTGTCTGTGTGTGTCTCTCTCTGTCTCTGTCTCTCTCTCTCTCTGTCTCTCTCTCTCTCTGTCTCTCTCTCTGTCTCTCTCTCTGTCTCTGTCTCTCTCTCTCTCTCTCTCTGTCTCTCTCTCTCTCTCTGTCTCTCTCTCTGTCTCTGTCTCTCTCTCTCTCTCTCTCTGTCTCTCTCTCTCTCTCTCTCTGTCTCTCTCTCTCTCTCTGTCTCTCTCTGTCTCTCTGTCTCTGTCTCTGTCTCTGTCTGTCTCTCTCTCTCTCTCTCTCTCTCTGTCTCTCTGTCTCTCTGTCTCTCTGTCTCTCTGTCTCTCTGTCTCTCTGTCTCTCTGTCTCTCTGTCTCTCTCTCTCTCTCTGCCTGTCTGTCTCTCTGTCTGTCTCTGTCTGTCTCTGTCTGTCTGTCTGTCTCTCTCTGTCTGTCTGTCTCTGTCTCTCCCTCTCCCCTCTGAGCTAGTCACCTGCCGCTCCACACACACAGTGGACCTGCGCACCAGTAACGAGTGTATGTGTTCCAGGGGAGCATCCAGATGGCCAAGCTGATGAACTACAGCGAGAACGACCGCGTGTGGAACTGCTCCTACGACTCCCAGTTCGGTCCAGGTTGGCGTCCTCCTCTCATTGGCTAACTGGCTGGGGGCGCCGCCCTCCGCCCTGCCCCTCCTACACCCCAGGACGCTAACTCACCCACCTTGCACTCCTGCCTACTCTCCCGCCTAACATCAGCATGCCCGCCTGCCCCGCCACACCTAACTCGGCCCGTCAACTTATGAGGACTGGTTAAACCGGCTCAGCCAGCAGGTTAACTGGCCTGGGCCCGATACTGCTCTCCTCCACAGCTAACTCGCCCACTAACACACCCATATGACGCCACAATTGGGCTCTTCCGTGAGGAATTAACCCGCGTCTGGAAGAAACAAACTTGAAGCATGTTGTACAGTTGACTAAAGAGAGGCGTCCACGGCACTGTCCATGAGGCGTGAGGCTCCTCACTTGGCGCAGGTAACAGGTGGTCATGGGTCAGTGTGTCTTGTACCGAGGTGAAGGGTCATGCAGCGTGACCCGGGGACCACACCATCACTTCCTTGGGGGAGGCATGAAGGCAGGACGCTCTCCTGCCTTCATGCAGGCGTGTGACCTGCCCGGGACACCCACTCCTGCCTGTCTCAGACGGGCTGCCACCTGTCTTATACACGTCCCAACCCGTCTTACACGTCCCAACCCGTCTTACACGTCCCAACCCGTCTTACACGTCCCAACCCGTCTTACACGTCCCAACCCGTCTTAAAGCTCTGCTACAACTTCCGGTTGTTTGATAACATCTTATGATAATGTTATGTTAGTGAGAGAATACAAGAGTATTCATATTGTAATAGTTTAAGTGTCGTACTAGAGAGTTATGACCAGGTGACACACCAGGAGGACCAGGTGACACACCAGGAGGGCCAGGTGACACACCAGGAGGGCCAGGTGACACACCAGGAGGACCAGGTGACACACCAGGAGGACCAGGTGACACACCAGGAGGACCAGGTGACACACCAGGAGGACCAGGTGACACACCAGGAGGACCAGGTGACACACCAGGAGGACCAGGTGACACACCAGGAGGACCAGGTGACACACCAGGAGGACCAGGTGACACACCAGGAGGACCAGGTGACACACCAGGAGGACCAGGTGACACACCAGGAGGACCAGGTGACACACCAGGAGGACCAGGTGACACACCAGGAGGACCAGGTGACACACCAGGAGGACCAGGTGACACACCAGGAGGACCAGGTGACACACCAGGAGGACCAGGTGACACACCAGGAGGACCAGGTGACACACCAGGAGGACCAGGTGACACACCAGGAGGACCAGGTGACACACCAGGAGGACCAGGTGACACACCAGGAGGACCAGGTGACACACCAGGAGGACCAGGTGACACACCAGGAGGACCAGGTGACACACCAGGAGGACCAGGTGACACACCAGGAGGACCAGGTGACACACCAGGAGGACCAGGTGACACACCAGGAGGACCAGGTGACACACCAGGAGGATCAGGTGACACACCAGGAGGACCAGGTGACACACCAGGAGGACCAGGTGACACACCAGGAGGACCAGGTGACACACCAGGAGGACCAGGTGACACACCAGGAGGACCAGGTGACACACCAGGAGGACCAGGTAACAACAGCAGGACCAGGTGACACACCAGGAGGACCAGGTAACAACAGCAGGACCAGGTGACACACCAGGACCAGGAGGACCAGGTGACACACCAGGAGGACCAGGTGACACACCAGGAGGACCAGGTGACACACCAGGAGGACCAGGTGACACACCAGGAGGACCAGGTGACACACCAGGAGGACCAGGTGACACACCAGGAGGACCAGGTGACACCAGGAGGACCAGGTGACACACCAGGAGGACCAGGTGACACACCAGGAGGACCAGGTGACACACCAGGAGGACCAGGTGACACACCAGGAGGACCAGGTGACACACCAGGAGGACCAGGTGACACACCAGGAGGACCAGGTGACACACCAGGAGGACCAGGTGACACACCAGGAGGACCAGGTGACACACCAGGAGGACCAGGTGACACACCAGGAGGACCTGGTGACACACCAGGAGGACCAGGTGACACACCAGGAGGACCAGGTGACACACCAGGTGGACCAGGTGACACACCAGGTGACACACTAGGAGGACCAGGTGTTACGGCCCTACTGGGTTGCAATCGGGTTCTTTTCTGGTGTTATTAGAATTCGGGAATCCGGCCCCAAGTTAGTAGTGGCTTTCAAGGGGTGTGTTCCGTAACGCAAAGTTAAATTAAAGGGGAAGGGATACAAATGCTCGGATTTATATATATAATCACCACCACCATAAATAAATATATAAACAGTCACATGGGGGTTATAAATACACAAATGTACAATGACTTGTCTTCCTCCGAAGACTCAGGATGCTCCACGGTGCTCACGATGAGTAGCCCTGGTTCTCTTCTTCGGCCCACGATGAATCCTCTTTAATTCTCTCGGCGAATCTACCCAGGCCACAGGCCAGCCAAATCACAGTCCCACTGTGTGCTCCATCGCGGAGGCCTTCAACCACAATCCAGCCTGTAGCTGGCAGGTTCCGATCAGCTCCGCTGTGTAGGCCACTCCACGACCGATACTAGGGTTGCGAGCCCTAGGCAGGAGCCTCGTGTGATTCCGCTGATCACTCTCCTCTCTCGGCACCACAGTGGCTAGTCTCTTCCACCAGCCAGCCCCGGATAAGGCGATTCCTGATACTGCCACGTCACAGGCAGGCTAACGCTCTCAGCAGTGTTCGTCTGGGGGTGACTCACAGCTTCTTCAGCAAACTCATGGAGAGACCTTGGCTGCCTTGGGTAGACTGATCCATCGTCCAATACAGCAGTCCCAGGTCGACTCTGTAATCAGACACGTCATTAGTACTAGGGACGCTCTAGGGCACCTCACTTAGAGGCTTAGGCACAAACGTCCACCTATCTGCTCCATAGATGGCGTTGCTGTCTAAGCGCCACCTCACCAGAGGTCAGCAGCGGCTATGTTATGAGCTGATTAAGACGGGAATCCAGCCCCTGTGGCCGGTATATCCCGTCCTCACTAGATGGCGTCATCCATTTGGAGGGGGTTTCGGGAGCGGACTCACAGATGGCGTTGTCGTCACTGCTCCGTGCTACGACGCTGGACTCTGGTCCGTAACACCAGGTGACACGAGGAGGACTAGGTGACACCAGGAGGACCAAGTGACACACCAGGAGGACCAGGTGACACACCAGAAGGAGCAGGTGACACAACAGGAGGACCAGATGACACACTTTAAAGTGAGTGACATAATTTACCGTTTGAGAGATGATATATGTAATAGAAACAAAATGTAACTTGCTTTTAGAGCGGTAACACAGAAATTGGCACAATATGTATAACAAAATAAAGATAATAAAGCAATTTGAAGGAGAACCGATGTCAAGTACTCGTCCCATTGTGTGTGTTCACTCGCTGATAATATTGTAGGTGTTGGTTAATTATTTAGACTTTGGTTAAAGTTGTACATAAACTGTGGCATTGGTGGACTTTGTTGACATTTGTATGGTCGTGTTGATCACATGTTGCACGGGCTTGACCCAGGCCGCAGGGGCCCGTGACGGGCTTGACACAGGCCCAGGCTGCAGGGGCCTGTGACGGGCTTGACCCAGGCCGCAGGGGCCCGTGACGGGCATGACCCAGGCCGCAGGGGCCCGTGATGGGCTTGACCCAGGCCGCAGGGGCCCGTGATGAGCTTGTTCCGTGTGAGTATTGACCGTAGTGGTGGTAGAGGGTTACCTGTGTGTGATGTGAGGAGGGTGGTGTGGGGGCCCACTCCTGCCTGGTGGTGAACCTTACCATCACCACTATTTCCGCCACCATCACCATCACTGGTTCTTCCGCCACAACCACCATCACTGTTACTTCCGCAACAACCACTGTTACTTCCACCACACCCAACACCACAACTACCACTACCACTGCTACTTCCACCACCACTGTTACTTCCACCACACCCACCACCACAACTACCACTACCTTCTCAACCACCACCACTGCTACTTCCACCACAACCACCACCACTGCTACTTCCACCACAACCACCACCACTGCTACTTCCACCACAACCACCACCACTGCTACTTCCACCACAACCACCACCCACTACTACTACCACCACAACCACCAGAACAACCACTAATACCACCACCACAACCACCGCAACAATTTAGTTTTTGTCCTTTGGCATTGGGAGGGGTAGTAGTAAGGGTTTTGCTCTAGCTCCGGGGCCCAACCCCACAGCCACAAGGCATCAGTTACCTAGTGAGCTTAAAAACATATTACAACACTAAGATACAAAAAAAATACATGTGGCTAAGATGGTCATATCGGAAAACACAAAAAAATAAATATATAATAAACACAAATACAATAAAGATTCAGGCATGCTAAATGAAAGAAAGAAATATGTGTGACTAGCAGACCATAATTACTCAGGCGTGTACGCATGGAAAACACCGTGGGAAGTGACACGCTCGACTAAGCCACTCCCGGGATCGGTCAAGCGAAGCGAACTGAGGGAAAATAACCAACCAATGCGACTATAGAACACTGGGAAGGGCAAGCCACCCACCATCACCGAAACAGCCACAGGGCAAGTTACCCCAAGATGACATCTGGCTTCCTAGACAGAGCCCACTGGCCCTGATTGGAGCCTCTGTGTTGCGGCCACACGGGTGCACTCATGTCCAGGGGTGATCATTATCAAACCCTTCCCGTGCCCTTAGACTACATTCTATAAAAGATATGACCTGGACCTATAGAATAGGTCCAGGTCAGGGCCTTTACAGAGCAGGTCTTCATGTCTCCTTTAGTCAGGCACATCCCTGTCAGAACACGGGCACTCTCCGTGCACCAACTGTGTCTCCAATTTAAGATAATTTTGAGGCAGAAGCCACACAGGCACTGGTGTACTCCCTGACCCATTGAAGGATCTCGGAGGTTCCATATTGGTCACACTTGCTCTTGTGTGGCCGGGAGAGTGGGAAGCCGTCTGCCGAGACCTGGCAGTCTAAGATTACGGCCTCGTTCACTTTGCCAGCAATGATTTCAGGTTTTCAAAAGTCCCTCCATCGGGTATGCGCACCTCCCTTACCATCTCATACCCTCGCTGTCTCAATCGACCAGCTACGAATTGGGTGATATCATCATGACGTTTCACCTGGACCCCATGCCTCCTTGGGCGTGCTTGTGAGATATGTCTATGGGTGCCTGGTCTCATGCATGTGTCTCACATGCCGCTGATCAACCCGTTCTCGCAAATTCGTAAAGTCAATATTGACTTATTAAATATGTGCATAGGTGACATACTTAACATAATAGATACCCTTAAAAAGATTCATAGAAAACACCGACCTTACCTAACCTTGTTAGTATCTTAAGATAAGCATTTTATTGCTTCGTAATTACAATTATTACCTAACCTATAATAGGTATAGGCTAAGTAATAATTGTAATTACGAAGCAATAAGATGCTTATCTTAAGATACTAACAAGGTTAGGTAAGGTCGGTGTTTTCTATGAATCTTTTTAGGGGTATCTATTATGTTTAGTATATCACCTATGCACGTAGTTAATAAGTCAATATTGACTTTACGAATTTGCGAGAACGGGTTGCCGCTGATACCTGGGCGACCCCTAGCGGCCCTGGACGGAGTAGCCAAAGCATTAGTTCTCACTTGGACCATGTGAGCAAACTATCTTCTCCCCCCCCCCCCCCTCTCAGCAGGCGAGTTCTGGGTGAGATCCATCTATGACATTAGGGAACCTCGCCCACTGACCAGGAGAAAGAGTGAGTAAGGCAGGCGCTGCATAATCAACTAGGGAACGGACAGCATGTATGTAAAACATTCTTAACACTTTGTGTCCCGCTCCTAGATGGGGTCTTGTGATTGCTCTCAT